AGATTCTCGGTTTATTACGTACATTGCATATCTGTGCATGTAACAGTTGGTATCGGAGCTTTTGCACGTGAATCAGGACGATCTGATCTGACACGTGTGCGGGGATAAAAAAGCTAGTTAGTCTTTTCTGTTTGATTAGGACATACTAGTTAGACCCCAAAATCAAGATCTTGACCTTACTACAAAAAAAACAAAAAATCAAAATTTTTTTATTTTCTCGGATTTTATTTTCTCGCTATTCTGCTGTGGAAAATTGCTATATCGCAACATCTGAAATTCCTATTTTCGTTTTTCTGTCTGAAAATTTGAAATTTCGTTGTTAAAAAAATCCGGAATATATTTCTTTTTGAAAGTTCCGATTTTTTGTTGCATTCCCGTTACTTAGAACTTCGGAATATCTTCTTTTCCGAAATTCGTTTTTCTGAAAACGGTACGGGAAATACCTCCTGCACGTATTATTTTTTTTCAAACTGTGAATATTCCCATCGAAATAAATCCGAATACTTGTCATTTCTTTTCATACTTTTTTCGCAGTTCTTGGATTCTGTCGGTTGGTTCTATAAATCGGTTGCAGTCTAAAGTCGGATTTTTTTCGCTTTCAGAGAATATTTCGTACTTCAAGGGAGGTTGGGAGACCTATCGAACTTGCAAAAATCGGGATTTTTTTATTTTCTCGAAATTTTTTTTGCAAAGTTCAAACTTTTCTATTTTGATTAGTGGCTCCTTATCTAAGAGTGAGTTGGGCGATTATCCCACCCACCCCTCCCCACGTATGTGGTTGCCATCTCTCGCCTTGCCGTTTCTGGTTGTCTCCGGGTACCCCTTGTGACGGCATTGGTAAGTTCCCACGTCAGCAGGCCAAGTCAGCAGACCACGTCAGCAGGACACGTCAGCAGGCTACGTAAGTACGTCAGCAGACCACGTCAGCAGGCTATGTCAGCAGGACACGTCAGCATTGCCGTGTCAGCAGCAAGGGATACCACATCAGCAGGCACCGGTCTGGTGTATGCTGTTGTGTTTACAGACAGCAGTCATGGACCAGAAGGCCGGGGAAACAGACGAGGCCTATCAGGCCCGCATGTTAGCCTGGAGTACCGAGACAAAGAAGTGGGCAGATGACGCTGCCGCAGCAGCCAAGAAAAGGGCAGAGGATGCCGAGCAGGCACGTCTGCTGGCCGTGCAACAACAGCGCCAGCACGACGAGGCAGCAGCAAGGGCTGCCGATGAAGAAAGGACACAGCGTCGTGAGAAGATATTCACCGGAGAGCGGACATTACTTACCATGGCGGCAGAATGACGAAGCGAGGTCGAGAACAGCCAGTTGGAGGACAACGCAAACAAGATAGCGCTCTTCCTCTCGCATCTCACGGATCTCCTGGCAACCTGCATTACACAGCAGGCGGAAATCCTTGGTCTCGACTACTCGGTAGCTCATCTCCAAGACCGCCTTCAGCGGGTGGAGCAGCGACCAGTCGCCGCCGCCAACGCAGGCTCTTCCAATACTGCCGACCGCCTCACCGTATTGGAGATGCACGTCGGCTCCCTCCAGGACGGCGCACAGTTACAGCAGACCGCGACGCAACAATTGCAGCAGCGGATCTGCACTACCGCCACCACCTCGAGTCCGGAGCCATGCGAGACAGCTCCTAAGTTCGATGGGCGGGTGATCTTCCACGACTCAATCAAGACAGATCCAATTCCATGGTTTCGCAAGTTCGAGCTCACTCTGCAACTCCACAATGTCAAGGAACACAAGCACCACGCTTACTTGTACTCTCGCTCAGGGGGTGCGTGTCAGGCTTGGTTGGACAACCTGTTGTCCAAGTACGGAGTGGTAGCTAACGACTTGCACACCAAGATCACCAGGGATGATCTGAAGGCGGTGTGGCACAAGCGGTTCCAGGTGGAGCCGCCAGAGATCAAAGCCATAGACAAGCTCATGGTCTTCGAGCAAGGCACGCTGCCGAGTACGGACTAGATCGTCGAGTACCAACGCTTGACGTCAGTCCCAGACATCCAGATGGGCTTCAAGGCCATCCGCCACTACTTCATCTCAAGGTCATGTCCGACATTGAGCAATGCCCTGACGCATGTCGAGGACACCTTGACGACGTCGGCGGAATTATTTGACAAGGCTGCGCAGATCATCGTCACGAACAAGGAGGTCAAGAACCTCCATTCATCTGCATCAGGCCCGAGCAGGGACCAGCATCGGCCAAGAGTGGCCGTGGTCGCAGCGGCAGCGCCGTTAGACCAAACCAGCGAGGCTGCGTCTGCCAGTGAAGGAGACAGATTCGCAGCCGCCTGGGAAGGTGGCCGCGCCGGCAGAGGCCGAGGGCGCGGCAAGCCGAAGACTCACACCGTTTCTAGCCCCGGGCCCAGTGCAGTAGCTCAGACAAGCCCATGGACCCCATATGGCATCTCCGAGTCCACATACAAGGCGTGCGAGAGATTCCACTATTGCCTATGGTGCAACAGCGATCTTCATCGGACGTAGGTTTGCCCATTGAAAGGCAAGGGCAGACAAGGAAACTGAGCACCGCCGAGAGTGACGCGACGACACTCTCGACGCCTTCGGAACTAGTTTCTTCGCGAGTGACCAGCCTTCATTCCGAGGCGCACGCGGAAGTCGACAGTCCTCCGCTCCTATTTTCTTTTGAGGACTATGCAGCCCGGCTCGTTCCAACGCTGGGTACTCAAGCTGAAGGACAAGGAGTGTGTGCGGTTTCTTCTCCGTCCGGCAACAACGACATATCGTCTTCAAGTGGTTCGTCACGGGATTCGGCGCGCGAGTTCAAGATAAAGGTTTTGGACCCGCTCACGTCTGAGGACTTTGCATGGCTTCCTCTCCCGACCATAGGCTGTTTGTCGGGACCGCAATGCGCAGCACTATGCGCTCATCTCCACACTTACCTTTCCTTCTATGCACCACCAACTTCGCCGACGGATGACGAAGTCGCGGTGGGGGACATCCTGGCATACGTTACCGAGGTGGCCCGCGAGTTTCGCACGCAGCGGTACGATAACAACAATGCACCGCTCATGTATGTCCGCATCCAGGTTGGGCAAGCATCCTGCAACACTTTACTGGATAGGGTGCGTCTCGCAACTTCATGAGCCAGTCTTTTATGCAAAGAGCTGGCCTTGGCGCACAAGTTCGGAGGAAGGCAAACCCGACGGCGATCAAGTTGGCGGATGGTAAGACGCAACAACTTCTCGACCGTTACATCGAGGCCGTACCGGTCTACGTCGCACCTCATGCATGCTGACCGGTAACATTCGATATTCTCGATACGGACTTCGACATCATTCTGGGAATGCCTTGGCTCGCGAGTGCGGATCACACAGTCAACTTCCATCGGCGGACTCTTAGCGTTCGCGACGCCTTCGGCGCGGAAGTGGCGTGTACGATTCCTCTACGACACTCTTCAATTCGGTGCCAAGTGGTGACGGCCAAATCATTCTGGGCGACTTGCGCTTACGAGCAGCCCGAGGAAATCGGCCTATGTTTCATACGGACTGTCGCGGTAGCCGACCCTTCACCCACGGACTTGTCTTCGGACCCCCGTGTGGTACGGTTGCTGGACGAGTTCGCCGACATCTTCGAGTCACCTACCGGTGTGGTGCCGGGTCAGCCGATCTCTCACGAGATCATTCTTAAGGCCGGTGCCGTGCCGCCGAAAGGTTGCATCTATCGGATGAGCGAGGAGGAGCTTGAGGTACTCTGCGCACAACTCGATGATTTGTTGGCCAAGGGCTGGATCCGCCCTAGTAACTCCCCATATGGAGCACCAGTTCTCTTCGTCAGGAAGAAGAACAAGGATCTACGATTGTGTATCGACTACCGCAAGCTCAACGCGCAAACCGTCAAGAATGCGGGGCCTCTTCCTCGCATCGACGATCTTCTCGAGCGGCTGGGCGGTGCGAAGTATTTTTCCAAATTGGATTTGAAATCAGGATATCATCAAATCTCGATTCAGTCGAATGATCGCTACAAAATCGCATTCAAGACGCGGTACGGGCATTTTGAGTGGGTGGTCATGCCTTTTGGCCTCGCCAACGCGCCGGCGACATTCCAGGCGGCGATGACCAATGAGTTCCGTGCAATGTTGGACCGGTTCGTGCTGGTCTACTTAGACGATATTCTCGTCTACAGCCGAACATTGGAGGATCATCTTGGACATCTTCGACGAGTGTTGGAGACGCTCCGCCGTGCCAAGTATAAGGACAACCGCGACAAGTGCAAATTTTTCCGGCAAGAGCTGGAATACTTGGGCCATTTTGTCACACCGGAGGGCATCAATCCGCTATCGGACAAGATTCAGGTCGTCCAAGAGTGGCCGGAGCCTCGGAACGTCACGGATGTCCGCTCGTTCCTCGGTCTTACCGGCTACTATCAGCGCTTCATCAAAGGCTACTCCAAGATCGCGGCCCACTTGAACAAGCTTCAGTGCGAGGATCGACCGTTTGACTTTGGAGAGGAGGCGCGGGGATCATTCCTCGCTCTCAAAGCCGCGCTATTGTCTGCGGAGGTCTTGCGAATCTACGACCCGCTCGCGCCTACGCGTGTCACTACGGATGCGTCAGGCTRTGGCATTGGTGCAGTCCTCRAGCAACATGATGGTGTGGACTGGCACCCGGTCGAGTACTTCAGCAAGAAAGTGCCCCTCGTGCATTCCATTGACGATGCACGCAAAAAGGAGCTCCTCGCCTTCGTCCACGCGCTCAAGCGGTGGCGGCACTTCCTCCTTGGTCGAGGCCAATTTCGATGGGTAACGAACAACAATCCGTTGGTCTTCTACAAGACCCAAGACACCGTCAACAGCACCATCGCTCGATGGATGGCTTTCATTGACCAGTTCGACTTCTTTCCCGATCACATTCCCGAGAAGTCGAACCGTTTTGCGGATGCTCTCTCACAGCGTCCAGATCATTGTACCGCAGTCTACTCGACGTTCGAGATTGACGACGACCTGCGGAACAGCTTCATCTGCGGCTACCAAGCCGACCCCGATTTTTGCGACAAGTACGCGAATTGCTCCTCTCCTAATCCGGCTCCTTCTCACTATCGGATCCAAGAGGGGTACTTGCTTGTCCACACGCGGGGGAAGGACCTTCTTTGCGTACCGAGTGATCCTCACTTGCGTACACGGCTTCTTGGCGAGTTCCACGACGCTCCCGCCACTGGACATTTTGGAGTCAATCGCACGATTGGCCGACTTCGCCAGCGATTTTGGTGGCCCTGCCTTCTCGGCGACGTCACGCACTATTGCGAGTCATGCGAGGTTTGCCGACGCTGCGAATCCCGCAACCATCGTCCATACGGCGAGTTACGACCATTGCCACTCCCGTTGAGGCGAAGGGAAGCGATTGCCATAGACATCACCGGCCCGTTCCCCAAGCACAAGACCGGAGTGGATGGGATTCTCACGGTGGTCGACCGACTCACCAAGTTCGCCATGTTTTTGCCTTGTCGCTATCATGCCAAGGCACCGGAGTTGGTCGAGGTTCTTTACGCCGGTTGGATTCGCACCAAGGGTTACCCCAAGGAGATCGTCTGCGACCGCGACACTCGGTTCATGTCCGATTTTTGGTTGGCGCTCATCAAGCGATGGGGCTCATTTCTCAAGCCCAGTTCACCTCGCCACCCTCAGATCGATGGTCAGACGGAGAGGGCGCATCAGACCGCACAGGTTCTCCTTCGCACTCTCATCCGCCCCGACCAGAAAAACTACGTTGAGCGACTGCCGGACGTTGAGTTGGCCTACAACTCTTCCATCCACCCGGCTATTGGGATATCGCTCTTCGAGTTCGAGCACAGCTCGCCGATCACATCACCGTTGGACACAATTACTCCACGCACGGCCGAGAGCGACGACCATCTTTTTTTCTTGCGTCGGATGCAAGAGCTTCTTGTCAAGGCACGCGACGCAACAGCGCATGCGCCAACAGGCAAATCGTCAGCGTCTTCCTTGTCCATTCCACGCCAGAGACCTTGTCTGGGTTTCAGCAACGGAATTCAGCCTTGAACAGGACATCTCTCGCAAGATCCTTCCGAAATGGATGGGGCCTTGGCCGATCATCGAGCCCGCTGGGGACGCACCTGAGGGGCCTTCCTTCACGATTCAGGTGCCTAGCCACTTGCCCGTCTACCCAGTCTTTCATTGTTCCGAATTGGCTCTGTACACGCCTGCGGAACATGATGATTTTTTCGGGAGACGTACGCAAGATCCACCTTCTATGGATGGTTTTCAGGAGGTCGGCGACATCATCTCCCATCGACGCTACGGCAACAAGCCAACTGCGTATCTGGTGCATTTTGCTTACTGCACTCATCGAGCTGATCGTTGGTTGACCCGTGCGGAACTGCAAGCGACAACTCCAGACCTTCTTGCATGCTACGAACGCAAGATGCAAGGCAAGCCGGATTCTTCGGCTCCACGCCGCGCCCGCGTCCAGGTTCCACCTTCAGACCGACGGCTTCGCTCTCGCCCCGGCTTGACTTCATAAGGAGGGGGGGGTGTTACATGCAGCACGTGCACACACGGGCCATTTTGCAGGCCCGACGACCATTTTGCAGGCCCGACTGGATTCAGGCCAAAACCCTGGATTTCAGGCTGAAAGCCTGAAATTCAGGGCTAATAGGCCCCATTTCGGTTC